GTTATAAGCTTCCCAAAGTGTCGCAGTTTTGGTGTGTTCACCCTTTAGTTCTATATAAAAGGCCACATGCATATTGTTTCCATTTTAATATTTATCAAAAAGAACTTTTTTAAATGATTTTTAAAGCTTCATCTGCAGAATTGGGAAGTTTTACAAAAAAGGTATTGTGAATATGTGCCATTAATTTAGAAATCGTACACCTTTTTTGACTTCATAATTTACATTCGGCTAAAACTTTTTTTTTATAAGTTTTATGAATGAAATAAGGAAATACCTATGCATATCAGGATATAATCGAAATAATTTTTGCTTTTTCGAAGATATGAAGTTCTTGGGTTTGAATGATTACGATAAGTTAGCGAACTTTGCCACATTCAAAATGCAATATCTTTAGTTTCACTAATCGTGTCGTACTAATTATTTTTTATTTTGAAGGTTGAAATATGTATTGTTTTGATATGTAAGCTAACTCTGAATCGGATAATCTAAAATGAATAGAAAAAAAAAATGATTTCTGAATGCAAGGTTTTAAACAAATAATATTTAAAAAAAGAAAAAGTAGTTTTTATTTAAAAACTGGGTTATCATAAATATTTTGAACTTTAATGGTTTATAAAATGATACGAGTTCATTGCAGAAAGTTATCAATCAATCACAAAATAATGAAACTAATCATTATACTAAGCCAATGCACTTTTGAGAAATCTGCTTGTCGACTAAAAATACAGTTAGTTTTGAATAAAACACTTTCAAAAGTTGAATGCTCATTATACTCTAAGAAGAAGTATTTGCAAATGTGCTCACAATTATGAAAAAAATAAAAAACACTAAAATAGCTTTAGCTTCCTAAAGGGTATGCATATGCGGCGTCGGAAGAGTAGCCTATTCGATTTCCGTTTGTTTTACTAATTCAAATAAAAAACACCTCAGTTATTCTGCTTGCCTTTCTACACTCTTCAAACATTTTTTTTATGTTTACCATTTGAGACTTGTATTTGCTTTTCATACATCGGGTCCGCCTCCTTATTTTCACTACGACACAACATTCATCATTAGCAGGGCGAAGCGGGGGCAAGTAAATAAGAAACATTTTTTTTCGCCCATACATGTACTTACATATACTATACAAAGGCGTGCATATACATACATATGTACGTAAGTATATACACAAGTGATTAGTTTCAGCCAAGTTCAAGGTAATTGTAGAAGGAATGCCTGTTTGAGAAATGTTAAAGAAACGAAGAAATGTGGTTATTGACATAATACTATTAAGCCATCGCAAACTGAGTTGTTAGAGGTGCACAACTATCATTCGGTAGCATGCACGTTTAATGTAAACACAGCGAAACGTGCAAATGATATGAAATTTTTTTTTGTAATAAGTAACTGTCGACAATGGCAAACCTCTGAGAACATTTCAGCCATGAAAAGGACTTAAAGAAAAACCATTTAACATTCAGAGGCAGGGTAAAACGGCAGCTCCCACCATTTGTATAATAACGACAAGGCGCGCAATACAAAGTAATGGAAGAATTCGACCAAAAATTTGGCACAGAATTATGGAATGCCAAATATTTATTTGTTTTCTTTTGCTATTGATTTCCCTGTTTTTATTTCATGGTAAGGCAACATTTCGCCTTTTTTGTACTATACTACATTGCACTATGGGACATTTTACAATCTTTTTGTCAAAAATTAATTATGGATAAACAAGTAGATGTTTAAAAACATGGTGATAAAGGGTTAATTTTTTTCTTTGTGCGTTTATATGTATATATATTTTTAAATTCATGTATTAAAGAAAAAAATGCCAGTTATAAAAACTTTGTATATAGTGGCTAGTTTTGAAAAATGTTGCCAAATTCAATCGAAAACCGGGAAGGTGTGAATTTTGTACGTTTCACGTTGAAAAGGTAAAAGGAGCAGCTTTTGATATAAAAAAAAGCTTTTTGTTCCCTGTCTTTATTGAAGAAAAACAAAAGATTAATTAAAGGTTATGTCAGATTTTCGTATTTTGCTCACCAAAAAAGTTGCTAAAGAAAATATTTCTCTTAAACAATTAAGGGATTATACCACCCTCAAACAACTAAAAAATTTGGTATGAAAATTAATTTGCATTTAAATAAAATTAATTAGTAATTAAATAACTAATTTTATAAAATTTAAATAAAATTTATAAAATAATTAATTTTTTTAATTTATAAAATTTATTTATTTAATAAATTAATAGACTTAATTATCGCTTGAAAAATATTTCATTATTTTAGGTTGACGGCAGAGAGTTTGCTAGAAGTGATGCTATGCTATAAAAGACATGCGAAGCAGCAAACAAAATTTTTTACTTTAAACCACTCTCAGTTTTGCAAAAAAAATTAAATTTTTTACTCGTAGCTTATACATACTTAAAAAAAACACATATTTTTGTAATTTTAGAAGACACCCCATTCAGAAATATTGCTGACCATCTTGAAAAGAGAGAGCTAATTTCTTTTGAAAAATGTTTCCACTTTTTTTTATTTTATTGAAATGAGTGTTTATTATTCTGACTATTTGA